GTCAACTCACTAATGACAAAATCATCATCCTTCACGAGTTCTCCAGTTTTGAACGCAAACAAAAACAACTAAAGCATATATTTTGATCATGAGTGTTACTGATTTCTACAAGCTTCCTAAACAGACCCAATATCGCCAGCCTGCAAATACATACACACATATTAGCTCCATATAGCTAATGCAAAATACTTGCCAGAAAAAAGCAAGCCTTCTTTCTTTGATGAGCAACTCAAAGCATCATTGTTTATAATTGCTGTAGTAAAGATATGTAGAATGTGGCCCATTGGGAAAATGAATATTTTCCCCCATTTACAAGTAAAAGTGTCCAAAAAGTTTGAGTTGTCTCAAACTTTATCTCCTCAAAAGACATTTCCTGAGTGATTGCATTGTATCTAACATTATATTAGGAGTACAGAGGTTAAATCACTGTATGCTTGTATAGAATTACGAATGTTTTCTTGGAATTTATAGTCAAGTGTATTGTTATGAATTTGGGAAGAACAGGCTTTTGCTGGTTTGTTGTGCTGTGTTTCATTTTAATCAATCTTATTTAACTTTCACATAGGCATAAAAACACAAGACTTTTCCCAGCCTCCACCTAACAGTATCCTGATCAGCTGGATCACAGCAGAAGGTAGGTATCCCTTGGAAAGTCTGGAAAGGATAACCGTGGGAAAACACCTTTCTTTTGGCTCTCAGTGTTCTATCATCTTACTTGCTAAATGAATATGGAGAATCTGAGATCTCAGAGTCTACAATTAGAAAGACCAGAGGGGCACTTGCAGAACAACCCTTGGGAACTATAAGGAGATTCAAAAAGCAAATGAAAGAAAGAATTACAATGTTTTAGTGTAAATCTTTTTTTAAATACATGCATTTTTTTTTCATAGTACCCATTTTCCATTAATTATTTGAAGACCCCCTCAAATGAGAGCAAAAGAGAGGTTCTTCTTTTGCTTTGTGACTACCATTGTGGTTGTTTACCACAAAAGTTGATCTACTCTGTCAAAGCACAAATCAAAATTACCTCTAAGACACTGTAACACAGCAAAGGGAGACTGGAACCTCCTCTCACATATAGCCTACTTGGGCTGCAATGACTGCCTAGAAGAAACTCTTTACATGGCTCTTCAAGAGAATACACATGCAAAGTCACAGATCTTGGAGGAAGTATGATGGACACTTGCGCGGAGTGGTGCACTGGGAGCCAACCCGACATGTATGAGGGGCTGACACAAGATGGCGGCTGGCCCAGGGCCAGGAGGCGGGATTTGTCCCACCAGCAGGTAAACAGGAAGTCACAGGGATAGGCTAGCGATTATGTCATTGCTACCAGCGTATTAGGTAGTGCCCAGTGGATCCACGGGGAGAAGTGATTGATGGAGAACTGTATATAAGCAGCCCGCTTTCAGCAATAAACCTCTTTTTGTTCGCCTGCCCCTTTTCGTTCTTCTCTCCTTTCTTGTTCGCCTGTTCGTTTGTGTGTGTGTTCGTGTGTTCGTTCAGTGTGTGTGTGCTGGTTGTGGTGGTGGTTCCAGGCCCTCGAGATTCCTTGTCATTTTAGTGGCACTGCAGGACAGTGACAGACACTGGGAAAGTGTTTTTTATTCCTACTAAAACATAAACTGATGATAGGAAATAGAGTAACAAAACATATATTTGTTGAAATGATTGATAAAGAATAGATTCTACAAGATATTCAACAACAATGATAAACAAAGGAACAGAAAAATAATCAAGGCACATATGATTCACAAGTCAGAATAGATTATTATCTTCACTGAAATAGAAAATACTGAATAATGTACTTTAAGGATGAATTTTGAACACACACCTAAAACTGAAATACCTTGGAGCAACCTCAAAAAGAATCAACAGAGTTGCACATATTGGTTTAGAGCTCAGAGTGGTAGAATGGAACATTGGGGTGTATAGGAGGTTAGTTGTAAACTGCCACAGTAAATGATGATTGAAGCCAAAAGCATGATGGGATTGCTCATGTAGAATATTCAGAATGAGAAATCAGAGAAATAAAGAAGACAGAAAGACCTAAAGAGGAAAAGCAAGAAAGGAATAAAAAGAAACCATTTCTTACTTTCCCAGAACAAGAAAAACAGGAAGCTACAGAGAAGAAATATCGGAGACATTCGATAATGATCAGAGTGATTTAAAGTGGGGTTATGAGAGTAAGACGATGGCCTGAAAATTATCCATTTCAATTGACAACTAAACCATCATGATGACACTTCACAAAGTTTGTAGAAAGATGAAATCAAAGGGAATGGCATGATAACTCAACTGCCTGCTCCTCCTCCTCCAAGCACTGGCATCCCATTGGTACCATTTCATGTCCCTGCTGCTCCATTTCCTATATATCTCTCTGCTTATGGCCACGAAGTGAGCCAAGGATGAAAGATCTTTCTATCTCTCCTTCCATGTGTAAATCTATTTTTCCAATAAAAATCAAATCTTAAGAAAGATGGAATTGAAGACAAATTTATTTTCATATATTAAGTTTTGCAACCCACTCACACCAGTCCATGAACTTTTTGAAGACTCATAGTATTTGAAACCTTAATAAGTTTCATTTTAGGAAAGTCCAATCTGCATAGTGATTAAGGGATTAGCAATTAGTGACAGAAATGTAAAATACTATGGAAGGAAACATCTGGTTTTCTAAAAAGTATGGAAGAAGTGGGAAAATTTTTCATTTTGGTTTTTATTTTTCAAGATGTTAGAATTAAGCATGTAGCTATTTCCAATTTTAAAGTTCATTTTTCTGTCTAGAAATATGCATAATAATGCCCCTCATGTAAAGCTTTTTAGCTTGATATGGGAACACCAAGATTATATATACACACACATATATGCAAAATTCAAATACATTATGTAAAAATCAATTTATATATTTATAAATGCTGAAAGAATAGTTATGAAAGTTAGCAGTGAAATGCATTTAAATATAAAATCAGTAACAAAAATACAGTCTAGATCTAAAATTATTAATAAGTCCTTTTAACACTACATGTTGCTGACCCCAAAGTTTATATGCTTACAGCCAACTTCAAGTTTTATGCTGGACCATTCTTCTGGGACTCTAAGATTATAGTCTAGGTTTCTATATGTCTTCCTATGGCAAAACAAAAAAAAAATGCCAATGAACCAGGCAGATTACTGTGCATTTGGTATTACTGTGCATAGTCTTATAAGTAGTAATATTGAAATAAAGACCCTGGCAATCCCCCAGATTCACAATGCACCAGATTAGCTCTGTAATTGAAGTCTCATGACCAGTGAAACCATGGTAAATGGCCACAGCTTGCTGAGTATGTCATGCCAGATGATGGCTGAGGTATTAAGCTGGGAAGTAGGCTTGCCATTTTAGGGCATCCCTCCTGGGAAGCTTAACTATGCAAAAGAATACGATCCAATCATTAGTTCACCAGTTAGGAAACCTTTAAAGACTTTACAAAGAGTGTTATTTTTAGCACTATGACATAAGCATAACTAGCTTTTCCACCATAAAGTTATAACAAGTGGTTTCAATAGGCTCTATCTTCCTTCATTGGGAAGATAACTTATCCCTCATAAAGAAAATTCTCTCTTTCCTTCCCTTTACACTTCTGTGCAGTGCCCTCTCATTGGGATTCCTGGTTGCTGCCATCTCCCCAGGTTATTTTCTTTTCAAGAATGTGGCATGTCAATTAAGGTCAAATAGCTGCATCTTCAGCTTGAAAAAACTGTGCAAAATGAGTTCCCCTTTATAAAGGATACCAAAAATCCAATTCTAAGAATGACCTCCACAAAAATCCTATCTAAAATTATTTAAGATTTTTAAAAATATTTTAGACTAGACAACAGCACAAAGATTGTGCTTTTTCATCTGTATCTTTGAAATCCTTTAATCTTAATGGATGACATTACCATGAGTAGTTATAAAGTAGGGCCAAGATTTACAAGTTAATGTGGTTGGCCTTTTCATCCACTGCAACATTGAATTCCATTCTATAACTGAGGATCAATAAAACATTTTGAAATTTGCCTCTAAAAAACTAAAAGGAGCATGAAAGGTCTCATAATGTAATGCAGTATCACCAAACATCATATAGACTTAAACAACCAAATATATTTCAATAAGTTCATCCCAATTTATGCTGAAATTATTTTTTACATTTTTATAGTTTATCATCAGTGTTTTCAAAAAGAGAATTATGAGATGTGGAGCTGTTTTATAAAACATTCCCATAACAGAGTGCCTGGGTTTGATTCCCAGCTACAGCTCCTGATTCTAGCTTCTTCCTAATGCACACCCTAGGAGGCTGAGTTGACAGTTCCAGTAATTTGGATCTTGCAACCGCATAACAGACCTAGAAAGCAATCCTCACTCCTAGCTCAGATCCAGCTCACTCCAGGCATTCAGGGAGTGAAGCAGAGGATGAGTGCATTCTGTCCCTCCATCTGTCTCTCTGCCTATCTCAAATAATCAATTAATGAATTTGAAGGAAGCATTTCAACAGCCAAACAGTTGTTCAAAAGCAGGACTAGGTCTACCTCTGCAGACGCTGAATTCCACAACTCTTCCCACTACATCATAGCTAGCCTCAAACACAGTAATCACTCTATTGATTTCATATTTCTATTAACAGGGAAAACAGCTTGACTTCCTCTGAAGTCATCAGGAATTTTTAACTAAATGCATACTGTAATCATCTCTACCTCCAATGTAAATACGCACTATTTATATAAGGAATGTTATGGGATCTTTGATGATACAAAGTTTGTGTGTGTGTGTGTGTGTGTGGTCTTTGCTTGCTTGTTTGTTTTAAGAAATGAACACTTGGTGCTTGGAATTTTGAAAAACCAGAAGATCTTACAAATGAATGATCACACATAGAGAAATCCCATCAGAAACGTTCATTTTTCTTTCAGAAGCATTTCCCATTGGCAGAAAATCCAGGCAAACCAGATTTGAAGGGTTTCAAACAAACAGCATGACCAACCTGTAGATGGAGAAGGAAGTCACCGACCGAATGAGGGATGCCAAAGCCCCAACTTTGGCAGCTTCCACAGCCCCACTGACACGGTACTGTACTGTCACTGAGTAGTTGACGTAGGGTTGGTTATAAACTACAATCTTCCCTTTTGCTTCCGGGGCTCTTCTCCGCAGCTCTTCAAAAGAAGTTACCACCAGAACTTCTGCTGTGATGCCTAGAAGTCAAAGTCACACAGGATCAACTTATGGTTTTCCACACTAAGGAAGAATTGCCACACGAGTTGGCACACATGCTGTATTTGCCACACCAGGTTTTTGAAGGTCAAACTTTTACAGCTATTTAGCATAGGAGAAAAATTGTAGGATTAGCTAATTGTAGGAGTGAATCCTTCAATTCTCTCTCTTCCCATGAGAGAGAAAAGGCATTCAAACCAATATAACACACAACTTAACATTTTTCAACTCACTTAACCAGTTAGTAGCAAGTCACAAATCTTTTCATAAAACAGCTTCTTTTATTTCCTTCTTTCCCACCCTAAGGAGTCATGGAAACACATATTGATCATTCTATTAAAAAGAAAAACACAATCAACTCCCTTTGGGATTAATGAGACAAATGCATATTTTCATTGAACTATGCTGATATTTTGCTAAACAAATTATAATGACATCACACCAAGGAAGCCAATTTGTGCAGAGTACACATTATTCTTTGTAAACTTAACTTGTAATAAATGTTTAATGTTAACGCACCCCAAGAGGACAAAAAGTCAGTTTATTCTCTTTCCCCCTTGTATAAAAATACTCTTAAAGAATGTGCAAACTTCCCATGCTTCTCAATTTACAGTACTTACTCACTGCCAAACACTATACTATTCTTCACATAAAAATTCTACAGACATTGTAAAACTGTCCTATTGTCCTTGCTCACATGTGCTTTCATTCCTCACATGAGACTTGCCCAATTCTTCCTGATTAGGGAACATGGTTTCACATCTCCCAAGAAGTCATTTAAAAACTGCCAGATCACTGAAGACTCAAATTGATAGAGTAGTTAGAGTGACAAGGAACAAATATTTAGCAACAAAGGCCAGATGCAGGGCTAAATATAGCTATCTATGAGAAAGTGACTGGCGCCGACTGTTTTGTGATTTTTATGTGTGCAGTCATGAAATTTGTCAGTAAAAACAGTATCAGCATACACTTTGACATGCTTCCTTAATATTGCCAACTAGAGGACTAGTTTTTGGGGGGTGGGAGGAAGATTAACAGATGTCATTAGAATGTTAACTGTTATGTGTCACTTGGAAAATCCTTTCAAAATGTACTGTGGATTTTAAAGACTTTTTTTTGTCACTATCTGGCATCATTGTAATGGTCCCTTTGAGTTGGCTCCTCTCTGACTTCTGGTTCCATCATCCAAATTAAATCTGTACTTTAAAATGATTGGGTACAGTTCCATAAGCACACCTCTACCAATACCCGGAACAGAACACAGTTTATAATCTAAAACAAACAGCAATGTGTAATTGGAGAGCATGGAAACTTCTAGCTTTTCACATAAATGTCCATAAAAATATAAATGAGGATTTGGCTAGACAGATTTTGAGATTCATAACATTTTGAAACCTAGAGTTACCTTGAAATTTGACTAGCATTATTGTTAGCATACTATGGGAATTTGTTGATGACTTTCATCTGTTTCTAATAAATACCAGGTTCAATGGCACACTCAAGGGATGGCCCAGCAATGGGGTAATTTTGATGATTGAATTGGAGCCACTGGAATAAAACCAAACTTTGATACATTTCTATAGGCTGGTGCAAAATTAAAGTTACACGAAAGTGGTACTATGCTCTATATTTAAAAACCAGTTCTTTTAACAAATGAGAGCATTGTTCTGAAGAGAACAAACCTAATTTAGACACCGCAGTTACCAATGTGCAACAGTGTTAGCAGATAAAGACCAAAATGTATTGCCACTAACTTGCATTTAACCTCACCTATTTTCCTGAAAGCTTACAGTTATCTTTCATTTTTCTGTCTCCTTCAGCCTCCACATCAAATGAGTTGCCAAATGTTGGTAATTTAATTCTTTAAGAATCAAACTCTATTGAATCTTTGTTTTCCTTTCCACCTAGTTACATGGACTCGCACCAAACACTCTCTCTGTGACCGTCCCTCCTTCCTCAGTAATTCCACCAATACTAGGATCCCAGCCTCCAGCTCAGCTCCTAGAGGCACCAGAGTAAATTGTTTGAACTGCTAAAAAGTCATGTCTACCCACAGCAGTAACCCTCCCTTTCCTTCGTTTCTTCTCCTGCCTCTACTAAAAAAAAAAAAAATCCATCACTTCAGCTTATGTTTGAAACCTACTCGACATCTACATATACTCACTCTTTCTGTTTTTAAATTTCAGCTATACTGAATTTAAAGTTCTCATCTTCATATTATGCTATCTCACTCCTCTGTGCTTGTTCATGCTGTGGTACACTTTGCCTTGCTCGCTCCATTCCCCTAATTTCATTATGTAACTAACACTTCATCATATTTCAGGAGTCATTCAAGAATCACTTCTTGGGGTTGGCCTGGTGGCTCAGCAAGATGATACTCTACCTGTGGTGCAGGCATCTAATTATGAAAACTTATTGGTTCTAGTTCTGGCTGCTCCCTACTCTGGCTTAGGAAAGCACAAGAGGATGGCTCAAGTCTTAGGACCCTCTACCCACAAGGAAGACTTGGAAGAAGCTCCTGGCTCCAAATTGACTCAACTCTGAACATTGTAGCCATTTGGGAAGTGACTGTGGATAGAAGATCTCTCTTTCTTTTTTCTTCCATTTATGTAAATCAGCCTTTAAAAATAAAAATAAATAAATATTTACAAGAAAAAGAAGAATCACTTCTTTGATGCCCATTCCCTGGCCTCTGGACTCCTGTCCTTTTCCATTCCACCACTCTGGAGGGTTGAATCATGAGCCACTGTTTTGGGGGCTTTCAGGGCACCTAGGCAATGTCTAGGCATGGAACAAATGAATCTCTCAGTATTTACTGCATTTTTTATTTGCATTTGCCTTGATGACTAGTGAATCTGAGCATTTTTCATGTGTGTCCTGGCCATCTGAATTTCATCTTTTGCAAAATGCCTGTTCATGTCCTTTGCCCATTTCTTAACTGGATTATGTCTTTTGTTGTTATTGAAAGAAACTGTATGGTTAAAGTTTTCATTATTTAACACTTGAGTTTCCCCAGCCCCATGTGGGAAGAACTCACAATTATTACAGCTCAGGTCATGGGAAGGAAATGCTGGCCTAGTAGGCTGGCCTGATTACAGTCCCAACAAGAGTCACAGCTATGGTGATGATAACCTCAGCAGTCACCAGCCCAGTGGACAACATTCGATGGTCATCATTTGGGAAGCCAGGGTATCGTGAAGACATTTTAGTAAGATTTTTACTCAAACTGAGTAAATAAAACTAGGCCATCTGGAAAACTTAACCCTTTTGTATTAGTTTGTGTTTTGTATATTATACCAAACAAAATCTTTATGCTCTTCCATAAGTCAACAAAGAAATTTGCTCAACTCTCCCCCTTTTTCTTATGTCTCCATTCTGAAAAGTAGTGCACAAAACCCCCAAAGAACATAAAATGTGTGTTGTATTTGCAATAAGGCCTACCACATTTAATAATATCCCAATACTAACAGCCTTTTGCATGTAGGTTGCTGAACTTCCCACAGCATATATCAACATCTTGTTTTATCCATCACAGTAACATTAGATATATAAGGAAGAGGCTAAGAAAAGTTTTGCTTTGGGCCCAGCACAGTGGCCTAGCAGCTAAAGTCCTCGCCTTGAACGCGCTGGTTCTAATCCCAGCAACTGCACTTCCCATCCAGCTCCATGCTTGTGGCCTGGGAAAGCAGTCAAGGACGGCCCAAAGCCTTGGGACCCTGCGCCCGTGTGGGAGACCTGGAAGAAGTTCCCAGCTCCTAGCTTCGGATCAGTGCAGCACTGGCCATTGTGGTCACTTGGGGAATGAATCATCAGATGGATGATCTTCCTCTCTGTATATCTAACTTTGCAATAAAAAAAAATCTTTAAAAAAAGTTTTGTTTTATAAATTAATGTTACATGAGTGTCCGAGATAATGATTGGCATATGTGACACATATACATGCTGTATAATCGAACAGAAACAACTAAAAGATAAAATTTCATCCCAGATGATTCTCCCAGTGTTCCTCTAAGGAACCTGCATATTTTTACGTGTCAGAATAACTGATGACAACACCAATAGATATATTTGAGTGTCTATTGTTTACCCCAATCTCTGCAAAATACTTTTGGGGGCACTGAAATGAAGGGAATAAGACTAACACAGTTACGAGGTGTTACTGTTGAGAAAGGAACCATGGAGGGTGAGAATCCAAGGCTCATGCTCTTTCTATTACTAACATTGACACTTTCTCTCACACATTATAATATACCAAAAGAAAAGCTCAGTGTTTTCATTTTGAGGGGAAAATAAGAAAATCACATAGGTCTACAAAAGTCTGCCTAAGTTGTCGATTATCTGTTCTGAGTCTTGTTCATAAGCCAGGCTGACCTGTCTATTATGGGGGAATTAGAGGTCTCATGTAGGAAAAAGCTCATCAGACTGTTAGAGTAATGCAAAGGATTGCAGTAATTACTGATGAGAGCATGAGACTGAAGCTAAAAATGTCCCAAAGGGGACTCTCTTGGCTACAGACTAATATATTACATAAAGAGCACCAAAATCCCCAGTTTCCTTGATGTCTTAAGCCACTTGCCCCAAGTGTCATTACTGCAACAGTGCCCTTGCAGAAACAGCAGATGCTGACAACTCTGGAATTGCTTCAGATCATCTAATCTATACATAGATTCCACACCTGCTATTCTCTGACCAATTCTTCAGAACGGTTAAAAAAGAACATAGTGAAAGGAGAGTGATAAACTGTTTCTACTACTAAAAGGAAAAAACTATAGTTAAAACAAGGTGTATCTGGTGCTCAACTCAAAGTGACATGTTGCAGAAAATCGATCCTGATTTCAGAAGAATGTATAACCCCAAAAAAGAAGTCCAGCCATATACAAAAGGAAACTAGCTTCTTACTCCTATTACATAATCTTCCAGAGCGTACAAGATAGCTAGGTCTTTGGAATGGTTGATTTTCCTGAATGCAGAGTTTCAGGGA